TGGTCAAAACATTCTAAACGCAATATTCAATGCAATATTAAACAAATGTTATTTTACAAAAATATTGTAAAGGACGAGTCACTTCTTAAGTGAACAGCCATGTTTCTTTCATTCATTCATTCATTCATTCATTCATTCATTCATTCATTCATTCATTCATTCATTCATTCATTTTCTTTTGTGTGCCACTGTGTCACCCAGCCATGTTTTACTGATGCATAAAAAACAAGCATGATAACAATATAAACAAACTAAAAATGAATACAATTTATTATCAACAGCACTTTTCTCACACACACACACACACACACACACACACACACACACACACACACACACACACACACACACACACACACATACACACCAGTCAATTTTACCTTACCCAATTCACCTATACTACATGTATTTGGATTGGTGGGGGAAACCGGAGCACATAGAGGAAACCCATGCGAACATGAGGAGAACATGCAAACTCCACACAGAAATGCCAACTGACCCAGCTGGGGCTCGAACCAGCAACCTTCTTTCTGTAAGGTGATTGCGCCACCCACAGCCCCACTGTGTTGCCCAACAGTACATTTAAAAGTTATTATTTTTTAGCCTTAAAAATACTAGTGTGATTAAAAAGTTTTGATTAATTAACAATTACAGAAGCAAAATATTTTGGTAATGAATACTGAAGCTGTGGCACTTGCATTATACTCTTATAATAGTAAGAGTGTGTTTCAGGGTAAGACAAAAACACAAAGATGAATTTGTAGTTTAATTGAAGTTTAATATACACGCTATGAATGTAGTTGATGTTATGATTGACATTTTATAAATATAGTAAAAGTAAAATTTACTATAGTAAGTAAAATTTTGGCATTTCACTTGCAAGTTATATGTTTTAATTGGCAACCGTGCTTTTTATTTAAGTTGTGCTAATAAACCTCCTGAAATCTAATTTTTTAGAGTGGTAAGAATTTTTTTTTTGTGTGTGCAGATTTACATGCTTGATGAAAATCGATGCAAAATTGTCACCTCGAGGGACTTCTGTTGGCAAAGAACTTCCCCCTGCCGATTTCTCATCGACTTTTAGTCTATTGAAGATTGGCACAAAAATTCACCCAGTCTGATCAATAGGAAGCTGGTTTTGGCAATGTCCTCTGTGTAGGTGGTCCTCTGTACATCAGTACATTGTACTTGCACTTTTAGGGCTAGTGGTTTGTCTAAACTTTGTTTCAAAAAGACTTCAGCAAACGCTGCTCGCTAAGTAATTGAATAAACAGAGATTGCAGAAACTGAGGGCAGAGTTTTAGATGTGATACGGTTTACCCAAACAAACAGATTTCCTAAACACTTGTTTCTAATCTGCGCCACCCCCTCTTCATGGTGTTTTGTGAGCACAGCTGGCATCCAAAGAGATGCGCAACCAAGCAGTGAATTGCTGGAATCATGTTTTCCAAATCCACCCCTACAGTTATTTACTAAATATGTGTTGTTGTTATGGCTTCAGTCCAGTCCAGACCGTTCATAGCAGTGCTTTTATCTGGTCTTTTGAGTCCTTCTCTTTTCTTTCAGCTTTGTCCCATATGCCTTGGCATTTTCATGACACTCTTGATGTCACTGTGGTCCTCGTGCTTTGGTTTTGGCCTCTGCTTGTACTCCGACATTTTCATTGCCGGTTTATGAGAGTAACCGCTGTTGAAGCTCCCTGTGTGCTTTGATTAGATATGCTCTTCTCATCCACCAGTGGATGGCTGAGAGCTGACTTACAGGCTTATGAGTTCCCAGAGTTCAGCCTCCATCGATAGAAAGGCCAAAATAATTGGTGAAAGTGGATTATTTTGGGCCAGAATCCAGTCAGACTCAACCCTGCTGAGTTCTCTTTGTGCTGGGAAGTGGATACTCATGAAAAAAAGCTCCTTTATTACTTTTTAAGAGGGTCCTAGAACTGTTTTTACTTCAAGGCCCAGATTTTATTCTGGATATCAAGTGGTCATCCGACATACAGTTGAATTCAGAATTATTAGCCCCCTTCTTTTTTAAATATTTTCCAAATAGAGCAAGAAAATTTTCACAGTATGTCTTATAATATTTCTTCTTCTCGAAAGTCTCATTTAGTTTATTTCGGCTAGAATAAAAGCAGTTTTAATTTTTAAAACACCATTTTAGGGACAAAATTATTAGCCCCTTCAACTGTAGATCCAAAAGACAGCAAAATGTTAATGATTTAATGCTCCTGGTCATCGATTTAGTGTAGCAAACCCATTCACAAGAATTAAAAAAGGTTTTTGAGGATAAGCAGAAATTGCACACTCTGTTCTGGACATAGACTGTGAAAGATATCAACATAGTATTCATGACATCACCCATAGGTTTCTTAAGAGCGCAAATGAAGCTAGAATTTGGCTTGGCCAACTGTCGCCATTTTATTTGCACGTCTTTGCACTGACCGGCTGTAACCAAAAAAGGCCAACGAGGTGGAGTGTGAGTGAAGCTACAGATGCCTGCTAGCATTTTGCTTAGACTGGCTTTTTTTCAGAAGAAAAGCTTAATACTTCATTACCAATGACTCGTTTGTGTCCTGACCACATGTTCTTGGTTGTGTACTGTTTCCATAAAGTGTATAGTCTTTTTAAAACACTGTTGTTATACATTGAGCCACTAAACATTGTTCTTATGACATTTTTCTAAAGGAGGAAAATGTGAATTTATTCCAAATACTTCAAATAGTCAGTGTTAGTAAATGTATGACAACATTTGCTGTATGACAATGTTTAGATGCTAATCAGCTAATCAATCTGTCAGGCTCTTGAGTGCATTAAAGCTTGAAGTAAAATTATAAATGATAAGTGATCTTAAATAAAACGAATACATTTATAGATATGGAATACAAGTATATAATTTCACTCACCTGGAAAATGGAGGCCACTTTGAGAGCACAATTAAGTAACCACCATGCCATATTATCTGATACTTGTAAGAAATAATTCCAAAAGGTAGTCGACTGTGTAAAGTTAAATAACAAAACTAAAATACGATGTATATGTCGAGCTCAGCAGCTAACCAGCTGGAATCAGCTGAGGTGATATGACGGCAACCAACGAGACCTAGCTCACTTTCAAGTGGCCACGCCCTTAATTATGCTGATTTAATATAACTTATAATAAACAAAACAGATGAGGTGTAAAAAAATTTCACCCCCTTACAGTTGTCATAAAGGATAATATTAGCTATTAGTTTTTTGTACCAGGCTGTAAACACCTTTGTTTCTGCTGTAAAGTTGGCCATTTTAACATTGGTGTCAATACAGGTGTGCTCCATTATGGAGCCAGGCTTAGCGGAATTTCGCTGAATTGCACTTTCAGTTTTCTCCGTATTAGCTTCACTAGGAAGAGCAGGATTTTGCCACTTAATTCAGGATGACATCGATCATCAATACCATTCAAATATAGTTTTTGTTGAAAATAAATGTGTACTTGTAATCAGCAATAATGTATTAAACTCAAAAATGTGACCAAAAAGGTTTCAATTAAATTAAAGTACAAAAAATGTATGTTGATATCAACAAATCAGCATATTAGAATGATTTCATGCTGACATTAAAAGTCCACATAAACCTGAATTTGCTTCTGGCTTTTATTTCAGAATGATGACGTGCATCCAACTTAAATGGAAAATTGTATTGTGGGTGTGGTTTTAATTTTTTTGTGCTCCTCCATTCATCTTGCACTTGCAGCAAACTAATGGTTAAAGGGGTGTGACTAGGCATATTTCGGCCAAGCCATCAAACTGATGGTAATAGACCAGGCCTGCTATTGCAAAGCAGAAGCAAATGGTTAGAATTTGATTTAAAGATGACCAAAACAGTTTTTTTTTTTTTTTTTTTCAATAGATGATCATGACCTTATATGGATTGTTCACCTTAAGACAATGTGCCCTAGTAAAATAAACATTGTATACAATGTGTAGCTCCCTGGTTCAGTAAAGGATTGACTCTTTCACTGGTGTTTTCCCATGATTTATTTTCAGTGCAGCATTCACTTCACTGACGCCGTCATCTACATCAAACACCTTACACCGTAGGCCAAACACCTTGCACCATACACCGAACACCGTAAGAGCTTGTATATAAAGAGAAAATTAAACCAAATGTAAGCAAATATGAAAACCGTATACAAAGAAACAGACATCACTTAAACTCAATGTACAAACTCAATACAAACAAACAAACATATTAAACGAAGTGTCAGTACCTTGTTCTCCAATCAAACCAGAAGCTAAACCTTTTGTCCGTTGCAGACCGCACAGCTGAGACGCCGTGATCATGTGCGATCTTTCTGTGTGTCCGTTTATATGCGTAATGGTAATTAATTCAAAATAAAAGATTTCCGCTTTTACAATAAACACTTCATAACATAAATACCAAAAATATCAAATATACATATAATAAAGAAGAGAGAGAGAGAAAAAAAGGACATATATACACCATGTCAAAGTTATTAACACAATGTAGTCTTTAAATACTTAATTAATAAATAAATGTATGTATACAAGAATATAGTTATAAGTGTGTGTGTGTGTGTGTGTGTGTGTGTGTGTGTGTGTGTGTGTGTGTGTGTGTGTGCGTGTGTGCGTGTGTGCGTGTGTGCGTGTGTGTGTGCGTGCGTGCGTGCGTGCGTGCGTGTGTGTTTTATATTTGTCAGTAAGCATGAGACATCTTTCAGAAACTCTGGTAATCCGTACATAGTGCAAATGTGTGGAAGGTTGTGTAATTACTTATCTATTTGTTTGTAATTTGTATATTTTCCTCCAGTAATCCTCTCAATACAGCTGTAAATCACTGTGTTCTATCATGTCTGATCTGTTTTTAATTATGTATGTGACATTGATTCATCCCTTGTTCCATACTAATATACCTTTGAGCATAATTCATGCATACTTGTTGATTCCTTTTGACATGTATTATGTTATATTGCTTTTAATACTCTCTCTGTCTTCTTGATTTGCAGACTTTGACTGGAACTACTTCTGGTCGTGGAGTCGTTTTGTGGATTACCTGCAGTGTGTACTGGCATTCACGGTGCTGGCTGCCTATGTGACGTATCTGCTGCTGGACTCGGTTCTGTTCGTAGAGAGCCTGGGTTTCCTGGCTGTGTTTACTGAGGCCATGCTGGGAACACCACAACTCTATTGCAACTACCAAAACAAATCTACCGAAGGCATGAGGTTTGTACTGGTAATGTTCGTACTCTAAGCAGGGTTTGTACGGATGCTGAAAATGCTTTAACTTAAATCTGGTGTTTTTAACATTTGAAAAGTGCTGAAATTTAGGACATTTAGTGCTTGAAACGGCTTGAAAATGTAATTGTGTTGCTTTCGTTATAATTTATGTTATTAAATAGGTAAAAATTATTAACTATTAAAATAAAATATGTATTTTTCTTTTGCAAAACTCGGGAGCCTGTGCATGTACATGTTGCAAGATCTCCCTTCTTGCATCTGTGCCCTTTGAAATTAAATTTAATATCAATTTAAAAAGAATGACACATTCAAAATGTGAGTAAATGAAAAGTGCTTAAGTTTTACTTTGGAAAAGTTTTAAGAAACTTGTCTAAAAAAAAGCTTCATTCGAAGATATTTAATGGCAGTGGTGTGCAAACTAGGTCCTTGAGCGGCATTGACTTGCACAATTTAGCTTCAACTTGCCTCAACACAGCACAGAACTGGTGTTCAATTGCACTGAAGGAATTTTATACCATGGTGAAACCGCATGGCCATGATGGCTTTTGTTTTGTAGCTTGCTTTCGAAAACACTATTGGTTGGTTTAGGGAAGGGAGTAGGTGGGTTAGACAATATCAGACTGATATATTATGCATGACAACAAGTGCACCGCCTTCTCTCATTGAAGCATGTGAGAAGCACATTGAGATGGGCAGAAATGTACACAGCAGCCTCAAGTAATGCCCGTATGAGAAAATGCCAAATTGCATTCTGTGTTTGACATTGTAAAAAATGTAAACGGCGGCCTCTAGTGGATTAGTAAAAACAGAAACTGCAAGAAGATGTAGTCCAGGGAGCCCATTTTTCGGTTCTCAAAAATGTAGCCCTGGGCACATATTTCCAATGATCCTGGCTTAAAAATTCCCTTTACCCTTTCGTTTGTACTGTGGTCCCCAAAACAATCTTCATTTGCGAGTCTATCTTGCACTTACCTTTACGCATCCAACCAAAAAACAATTGAGACACATCTACTTCTTCACATGAACACACAAAAGCTAAGAGCTAGAGGGAGTGGAAGGGCTAAGGCCCCGTATACACTCGTAGCATTTTTAGAATGAAAACGATCAGTGTCCACACTGGCATTTTACCTAGTGTTTCTGAAAAGATCTCCATCCATACTACACTGCTGAAAATGCACATCACGTGACCACACATGGCGGATGCGGATGTCAGAGCTCCAGGCAGTCAGTGGGTACTTTGAGCACAGAAACTCATGTGAGATCTGCACACGTCAGACGGTGATCAAGGATCTACCACTGGATTTAATCTCACTATATCTGTTAAAAAGGATATTTAATTCATCTTGTTGTCTATATCTAATGATATATTCCCCAACTTTCGTCTTTTGAATCTATTACTCTCCGGTAACGAGTTTTAGCAGTGTACAAAGATAAGTTCATATATTAAATTGTGCAACCAGGTACAATGACTCTGCATATTTGACTGTTTGCCTTTACTACCTATAACTTATAAACTTATTGTGTTATACATTTATAACGGCACTTGTACACGGAGACTATACAAAGACATAAATGATTTTGTACTCTCTGCTTGGTCTGTGTCCCGAGTTGTACATGTATGGCTGAATGCTCATTCCAGCTTAGCTTCTCTCTCTCTTTGTCTGTCAGGCTGTCTGTTGCAAAGACAGAGCGTGGGAGCTCTTGGCTCCGCCCCCTTGTTACATTGGCCAGGAAGCCGAAACTGTGAAGCAACATGCCCCTAAAACAGCAAACTGTGTGTAAACGCTACCAACATGACACTTTTGAACGCATTATAATAAAAACATCTGAACCGTGTGTTAAACTGAACCTAAACTGGCACACTCAGAAGAACAATAATATTAATATTAAATCATTAAAAAGGGTTAAACTATGTGCCCTTTAAATATTCTAACTTGGGCTTATTGTGAAATGGCAGACTTCGTTCTGGTGAAGCATGCAGGACTTCTCCATTTAGGAGGAAACTGAAATAAGATTTCTTAAAAACAAACGTTACTGTTATGACTACTTTGACATTTTTACATCTGCTCAGTCTGTTTCCAGTGAGCAAGTACAGAATCCTCAGCTGTATTAGAGGATCATGGGAAGTGATAAGTGGCAGCACAGTCACACCTTGATGTCTGCTGGTTCAGACTTTCTGCTCAACTGGTTTATAAAACACTGTTGCTAAGCTACAGGAATCAAACATAGTCTTACATATACGTTAACTGGTTTAGTGGATCTTTTCAAATGTATTTATGTATTTGTTCCTTTGCTATCTATTCGATTGCACAGCACAATTTAGTAAACGAGCTACAGTGTTCGAAACAAATGAATAAGACCAAAATAGTAATTAGGTAATGTTTCATGGTGACTATAAGATGCACTGTATGTGTGTGAGAGGCGTATTATCTTGCATAACCTTTTGAGAGCTGCAGTGTGTGTGCTGTAAAAACACATCCTGTCATTGTGACTTAGTGTGTTTGGTAGTGTCTCATACTGTGAGATGCCATCCTCTTCTCTGTTTTCAACATTTGTGCTGTGTGTGTGTGTGTGTGTGTGTGTGTGTGTGTGTGTGTGTGTGTGTGTGTGTGTGTGTGTGTCCATTCACCCGCACAGATTTGATGGCACAAGCGGGGAGCTGCCACTGGCAACATGCCAGTGTGATGGGAAAAGGGTTGCTGCCTTCTCGCACTCTGTGCGTGTATGTGTTTGTGTGTGTGTTTAAACATCTGTGCTGATAGAGCCTGTATTGCTGTACGTCTGTAAACCTGTGTGTATGCAAACAGGGTTATTTGCATATGCTTATGCTTATGTATTTTTTAATTGAATTCTGCCTCTGCTTTTGGGTAGAGGCAATATAAAGTAGAAAGGATATATGAAATATGCATACACAATTGCAAAGTTTGTCTCTTCAATGGTCTTCTATGCTGAATAAAAATAGCCTTTTAAAAAAAAATAATTCACTAAATGTAGTGTTTAAAACATTATTACAGTTATAAATAAATTTTTCCTGTGATTTCAAAGCTGAATTTTCAAAACACGTCTGTAGGCACATGTGGTTGCACGTGTTACCATATCTCCAGTTAAAACGCACCCTTTCGGTTAAAGGGTAATCAATTATTTTGAGCGTCCCTAAAGGCAAAGCAAGGGAAACGCGTCGAAAACAGTTTATAAGACTGCCCAGATGAGTGTGTGTGCTGTTTATATAGTCCTTGAATCAGTCCATGAACAGCTTCAGCTGTGCGTGTTTGCAATTAGTGGAAAACAAGAACCGGTGTGTGCGAGGTGCATGCTGGGATTTCTTTAGTGTGGTGTGTGTGTATATCTCCATTAATCCGCAAGAATTAATTTGCTGGAGATTGTGACACACATGATCATTTAGAAATCATTTTTACTTGTGGTTTGAAACATTTCTTATTATCGTCAGTGTTAAAAACTCATGCAAATCAGTATATTTGGGTAACATATTATACATTGCATTTGTCAGATTCATTTATTATAAGAAAAATGTTTTAAAGTTGAACCAGTTGGCATTTCTTTGTGTTTGCATGTTCTTCCTGTGTTTGTGTGGGTTTCCAATAGTCCAAAGACATGCAGCATAGGTGAATTGAATAAACTAAATTGCTTGTTGTATATGAGTGAGTGAATGTGAGAGTATATGGGTGTTTCCCAGTACTGGGTTGTGGCTGGAAAGGCATCCGCTGTGCAAAACCTATGCTGGAATAGTTGGCGTTTCATTCCGCTTTGGTGACCTCTGAAATAGAGACTAAGCTGAAGGAAAATTAATGAATGAATGTTTTTAATTTAACTTTCACCTAAATAAATAGTATTAATAAAAAACAACCACTTTTCAATGGAATATTAAACATCTCCCTGGAAATAGTTCATTCTGATTGGTCAAATGTTATATCCTGGATTAAATCAGTTAAGTGCCTCTCATATCACTTCACACTCTGTATCATCTTCTTACATGATAAAGTCATTTCAAACGTCATAAACCAAACCTAATTATATAATAAAACCATTTCAGCTCACCACATAATAAAATAATTCAAGCCTCTCTGTTGGGGTTTTTAGATATCTACCTGTCATATTATCTTGGAGTGTTTATTTAGCGACAGTGATTTGCTGACTGCATATTTTTTTATATAATGTTTGTTTTTCTTCACTAAATCAATATGTAGATTTACATGAAATATTGATTATGTTGCTTATGGTTTAGCTCTAAGCTTGTAATATGAAAAATAGCCCTGATAAGCAAGGCAAATTCAGTATAAGTACATATTCCTTCAAAGTTACTTATTCTTCCAATATTATAATGTCATTCAATTCTACCAGTTTCTTTTTTAACTCTGTTTCTGCGCTCTAAAATGTTGTTTAAAAACTGTATATTTATTGTTTATTACATGATAAATTGATGTTAAGACGTGAAAAAAATTGATCATGTGACATCACAGCCCATCAGAATTTGTGGATGAGATTTCTTTAATCACTATTAAATAAATAATCAAAATCAACTTCCAACAAAACTCATTTCAAGGCTTCAAACTCAAGCCTTCCTGTAGTTTAAATAGGAAAAAATCGTGCTTTCAGTGCCAAGGTTATGTATTCCATTCCCAGGTAAAGCAGGGACTGATAAAGTGTGTACATTTTAATATAATGCAAATCACTTTTTATTTAAATTTCTTCCAAATGCCTAAATGTAAATGGTTTTTACATTGCGAAAACCTCTTGAATGGCCTGAGGGTGAACAAATATTTTTTTTTAGTTCTGAACTATCCCTTTAAACAGGGAACAGCTGAGGTCTGAAACATCCAGGCATACATTGGTTCACCCAAAAAAATGTTTTTTGCTCATTATTTACTCACCCTCAAGTGGTTTCAAACTAGTTAGAGCTTCTTTTTCTGTTGAAGACCAAATAAGACAATAACACGCACATAACCGGTAACAAGAACATTGGTAAA